GTTTTGGTCATCTAAAAATCTAATGGATTTTTGGTTTCCAAAGTGCTACCGTGTGCTCATTATACTTTGTCTTCATCTTTGGCGCAAGTAGTGTATTACCCAGAATCAGTTTTACTGCTAAATGTGCTTCACACACGCAAGGATATTGTTTTTGCTACAGACCCTTCCGGTGTACATAAAGTGACAACACGAAAATAAATATGAGAAAATACGACAAACATTAAACTGCGATGCAATAAGACAAAAGCTCTGGATATGGAACTGTATTTACTTTTATATAAGACAAAATGCCCTTTTTATATAAGACAAAAAGCCCTCAGCGGCTTCTCTTACCACATTAAATTTAATTTTCTTTTTTGATATTTGGCACAATTTTATCAGGAAGCGACAATTTTGTTCACCCTTGACTCATTGGATGGAAAGATGCCTTATAAGCAAATGGTTTATCAATACAAACTCACCCCAATTTGTACATTTTTAATTGAGTGGCTAATTTGTACAATCTCATTCGTACAAGTTAGTACGATTAGCCTATCCTCCAATGAAGGTTGGGTGCCATGCCTTCTTTTTAAAATTGTACATTTTCATACAACTGAACTCGTATGAATTAACTTGTAAACTGACAAAACGTAAAGTAGTCTTGTTTCCTCGTGAGATCAGGCTGTTTATGCGATATTTTAGTTTTGCGCATTTGAATGGAAACATATTGCTAACTTAAGATCTGACCAACGCTATCTCACGGCAATTCGTAACTTTTTGATTCAGTGGCTAATTCGTATGACCTCATACGATCTAATTTCTACAATTAAGTATGATTTGCTCATCACCCAATGACGGTTGGGGTTAGGGGTAGAGCTGGGTGCCACGCCTCCTTTTTAAAATCGTACATTTTCGTACAGCTGAACTGAATTAGCCACTAAACTGACAAAACTTAAAATACTTGCATTTCCTCGTGAGATCAGGCTGGATCTGACACGTACAATTAGGTTGCTAATAGTATTAATAATAGTAATAGAATCATAGTATTTACTTAAATCACCTTATTTGATATTAACAAATACACTGGCCGTGAACAATTCAGGGTGTGTCTGAAAAAAAAAAAAAGCACACACAATGCATGCACATTGAAATGTGACTAACCCCTACTGTGTCGTCGCTGGCTGCAAACTCCATCATGTATTATTATTATTTTTTTTTTCAAAGCCTTTGGAAATATATTCATGAAATTTCAATATTCAATGAAACAAGTCATCTTTTAAACAGAGTGCAACGGTGACATTTCATTCTTTACGTCGGTTCAACGCAAAATGTTATTTCAGCCAAATAAATAGCCATTTGTCTTATTTGCAACCCTGCTGTCTTGGTTGGCTAATTGAACATTGTTACCGCAGTGGCCTTTTTCTTTTTAGTTCCAGAGCAAATGAAACTGCCAGTTTAGCATCAAAAATAATCAGTTTGATGAGTATTGTATATACTGGCAGCTCTATGTAATGCAGTATTGATCGCAGCTCTAGCACTAGTCACAGAGAGAGAGAGAGAGAGAGAGAGAGAGAGAGAGAGAGAGAGAGAGAGAGAGAGAGAGAGAGAGAGAGAGAGAGAGAGAGAGAGAGAGAGAGAGAGAGAGAGAGAGAGACTGATTATTGGCTGTTGATGGATTCTTCTGTGCTTTGGTACTGTACGTGTCTATGCTTGTACACAATCACTGTGCGTGCAAACAACACATTTTACTTCACTTTTACAGTAACTTTAAAAGATTATAAAATAGATACTATTTACTGTAGTACTATTTCTTAAGCAAATTGTTCAGAAATAGTAACATGTTTTGCTTTATAGTTGTGGTTAAAAAGAGAATGACAACTATAAATGTCTTTCACAACCTACTGTGTTACATAATATGACTAATCTCTGACTAAAACATAACATTTTACAAGAAAAAAAGCTGGATGCTGAAAAGATGTCTCTGTATGTCCAAGTACATAAAGTTAAAGTCAAAATTATTAGTCCTCCTGAGAATTTTTATTAATATTTCCCAAGTGCTATTTAATAGAGAGATGATTGCTTTCTGCATATTTAAAACCTGATAGTATTTCATATTTTTTCTAGTTATTTTGCAAGATATTAGTATTTAGCTTAAAGTGCAATTTGAAGGCTTAACTTGGTTATTAGTTTAACTAGGCAAGTTACTGCATTACAAAAATGGTTTGTTCGGTAGCAAAGGTATATTTTTTTTTACTTCAGGAGGCTAATAATATTAAGCATACAAATTGTTTTAAAAAGTTTAAACTGCTTAGGACTTTCTCAGGAGACAAAATAAGAAAATTGTGTTAAATATCACTTGGAAATTTTTGAAATAGAATAAAATGTTAAAAAATGTGTAGCCTATACAAAAAAAAAAAAAAAATGTTTTAACCTTTTAACTAAAATAGATATAAATTTATCCAGAAGAAAAATAAGGAGGTTCATATATATATATATATATATATATATATATATATATATATATATATATATATATATATATATATACCTTCTATGATCTACAATTTTGTTGTGATCAGTTATATAATGCTTAGGTGGCATTTTTATACAAAAATTTCTGACCTAAACTTTATGTTTGTGTTGGCGGATTTTCTTAGAGAATGACAGAAATTATAATGTCTAATAATTTGTATTATAGGACTAGCTTGAGTTAGATTTATATCTTTCATCCATATGATTCATTCATTTTCCGGCGGCTTAGTCCCTTTATTTATCCAGAGCACCAGAAGGAAAC